GTAAAGCAAAAAGGAAAGGAGGATAGAAAACTCTGCCTTTGTCTTCTGGGGTGAGGTTTTTTTTTTTTTGTTTTTTGGGGTTTTTTTGGTGTCGGTCCTAGGGCTTGAACTCAGGGCCTTGGCACTGTACTTGAGCCGTGTGTGTGTGTGTGTGTGTGTGTGTGCGTGCGTGTGTGTGTGTGTGTGTGTGTGTGTGTGTGTGTGTCAAGACTAGCGTTCTACTACTTGAGCCACAGTTCCACTTCCAGCTTTTTTTTTGGTGTTTACTTGATGGATAAGTTTCAGACTTTTTTGCCTGAGCTGACTTTGAATTGCAATCATCAGATGTCAGCCTCCTGAGTAGCTAGGATTACAGGTGTGAGCCACCAGCACCTGGCTTGGGGTGAGGCTTTTAAAGGGTTGAAACCAGGAGTTTGGAGATAGTTGCACGAACTTCCTGTTGAAACATACAGGTGCATTTGGAAACCAGTGAACAGAAAAGGACTATTTCCAAACCAAGGGGTGGGAAAGAGTAAGATTCCCTTCCATCTCTTCCTTAGAGAATGATGATATGGCTGCTGGGTGTGGTGGTTCCCTCCCAGTTCCCAGCCAGTTAAGAAGCAGAAGCAGAAAGGTCATAAAGTCAAAGCTAGCCTAAGCTACTCATCATCCTTAGAGAGAAAGAAGAGGAAAGAAGAAAGAAAAAGGGAGGAAGGAGAAAAAAAATGCAAGGAGAAGGTTAAAACCAGCTTGTTCGGTTTGATGTTCATCCATAAGGATATCTGTAAGATTAAGGACCACTGGCTTTTTAGCCTGCAATCAAAACCACCCAGTTCCAAGGGATCAAGGACACTGAATTAAAGATTTGGGGAGAGGAGAGATCCAGCTTCCGGAATCTTTGATGTTGCTGATAGAACTGGGGTTTCTATGTGCTACAATGTGGCAATACGTTCCTTCTTGGAGCATCTGTTTTGCCGGTGGGACCCCTGGCCCTGTAAGCTTCTTCCTGCTGGGAAATGGGTGGCTTTGGGCACTCTTCAGACTCCGTTCTAATATCTAACTTTGGCTTTTACCAGGTCTATACTTACCTCCAAGGAATGAGTTTATTGCCCCTGGTCCCCTTCCTCTACAGGAATCACCACTTTTACCTTTAATGATGGAGACCTAGGAACCAAAGAAAACCTGAACAAACATTTCCTGGCAATTCTGAGCCTCACAGGGTGGGGCAGCACTAGTTATTGAATTAAGTCCTCAAATACTGGCTTCTCCGCATCATTGCTCTGCTTTAGTCCTGTGCTAGCAGTACACAAAGGAACTGCTATTCATTTTCATTTTGTTTTGTTTTGCCAACGTCTATCCTAGACAAAGACATATCATTCTGTAAATCTGGCTTTGTCCATCAAAACTCAAGAATATTTATTCATGTTCCGTGTGTGTGTGTGTGTGTGTGTGTGTGTGTGTGTGTGTGTGTGTGTGTGTCTGTCTGTCTGTCTGTCTGTCTGTCTGTGTGTTCCAGTACTGGGACTTAGCTTTCCAGTACTGTCTTTTAGCTTTCTCTCCTGAAAGCTGGCATGCTACTACTTGAGCCACAGCTCCACTTTGGCTTTTTGGTGATTAACTGAAGATAAAAAGTCTCATGGGAGGCTGGGAAGGTGGCTCAGTGGTAGAGCGCTTGCCTTGCATGCATGAGACCCTGGGTTCGATTCCTCAGCACCACATAAGCAAAAAGAAAAAAGCCAGAAGTGGCGCTGTGGCTCAAGTGGTAGAGCATTAGGCCTCACGACCAGACCCTCTCTCCCCCCCCCCCCCCCAAAAAAAAGTCTCATGGATCTTCCTGTCAGGACTGGCTTTGAACCATAATCCTCAGATCTCAGCTCCTGAATAGCTAGGATTGATGACAGGAGTGAGCCATTGGTACCCAGCACCATGCTCCTTTTTAAACTTTATTTACTTTTATTCTTTATTCATTTTTGTTGCTGTTGTTTTGTTTTTTGCCAGTCCTGGATCTTGAACTCAGGGCCTGGGTGCTGTCTCTAAGCTCTTTTGCTCACGGCTAGTGCTCTGCCACTTTAAGGCACAGCTCCACTTCCGGTTTGCTGGTGGTTAACTGGAGATAAGAGACTCAGACATTTCTGCCCAGGCTTGTTTTGAACCATGATTCTTAGATCTCAGCCTCGTGAGTAGCTAGGATTACAGGTATGAGCTACCAGTGCCCAACTTTTAAACTTCTGCTGGAGGACAGTGCTAGGGACCTCCAACACGTTGGACAAATTGTATACTACTGAACTGTACCCTAACCCTATAGCCAAGTTCCTCTTAACAAGCACAAAATGCCTCTAAACACCAAAAACTCCATGCCGTTCTTTGGGATGATTTTTTTTTTTAATCCTCTGTAAATCCCTATTCCATCCATTTTCCTTTGCCTCTTGGGGTAAACTAATCTAGCATTCATTTTGTGTATGGTCAGATTGCAGTCTCCTTGAGAGCAAGACCAACCAAGGGAGACAAATTATTTAAAACCTCTAGGTGACCTTGAATATGTGTAGGTGCATAGTGACTGAGCCACACCTTGATGACAGAAATTATCCCAATTCATAAGATTCACACATCCAAGCAAAGAGCGCACAATCCTCAAGGGCTTTACTACTACCTCCCTCTCTACCCTGCCTCCTTCAGTTGAGAAGGAGCTGGAGACTTCTAAATTCTCTGAGGGCAACGATTCCAGAAAAGCCAGGGTCTTGTGTAGGAGGCTGGAGGAAGCCAGCCACAAGTCACAGACAAGGCTGCACCCAGTCCCCCCATTACGCCACCCCCCCCCCCACACACACACACCCTGCACCTTTTGTTCTCAAGCCAGAACTACTGGTTTACTTTCCCTTCTGCAAGGCCTGGTGGGCTGTATTAGTTACGTAATAAAAGCAGGAAGGATTGTTGTTGAGGTTTTAGGATAGTTAAAAAAAAAACAAACAGGGGGCTGGGAAGGTGGCTCAGTGGTAGAGTGCTTGCCTTGAATGCATGAGGCCCTGGGTTCGACTCCAGCACCACATAAGCAAAAAGAAAAAAGCCGGAAGTGGCGCTGTGGCTCAAGTGGTAGAGCGCTAGCCTTGAGCTGAAGAGCTGAGGGACAGCGCCCAGGCCCAGTTCAGGCCCCACAACCGGACCCAAAAAAAAAAAACAGTAGGGCTGGGAAGGTGGCTCAGTGGTAGAGTGCTTGCCTTGCATGCCTGAGGCCCTGGGTTCGATTCCTCAGCACCACATAAGAAAAAAAAAGCCGGAAGTGGCGCTGTGGCTCAAGTGGTAGAGCGCTAGCCTTGAGCTGAAGAGCTTAGGGACAGCGCCCAGGCCCAGAGTTCAGGCCCCACGACCAGACCAAAAAAAAAAAACAAAACAGTAAAAGCCAAAAGAGTAGATTAGAAGTGACTGGAAAGGATCTCACATGTAGGGAACCCAGGCAATTCAAAGAAGTAAGAGTGAAAAAAGGCACCTAATTTTGGAAATACTTTTTCTGGACAGGCTTTCACTACATGGGCCACTGAATTAGATATACATGGGAAGGGTGGGATGGTGTCAAAATGGCTACAAGCACAGGTTTTGGTTTGTTTTTTTCCGTCATTTGGCTTGAACTCAGGGCCTGGGCACTGTCCCTGAGCTCTTTTACTCAAATATAGCACTCTACCATTTTGAGTCCTAGCACCACTTCCTGTTTTCTAGTGGTTAATTGAAGATAAGAGTCTCAAGGACTTTCCTACCTGGTCTAGCTTTGAACCACAATTCTCAGAGCTCAGTCTCCTGAGTGGCTAGGATTATAGGCACGAGCCACCAGTGCTGAGCTACAAGCACAGGTTTTAAAAATCAAACATGACTCTGTACATCACCTTTATAGAAACAATTAAAAAGTCAGATATGATTTTGTAATTGTAACCACTCATATATCATCTTTATAATAACAATTTTTAAAAAACCAGGAAGAAAGCCTGGTGCTTGTGGCTCAACAGGGTGCTGGTGGCTCACACCTATAATCCTAGCTACTCAGGAGGCTGAGATCTGAGGATCATGGTTCAAAGCCAGCCTGGGCAGGAAAGCCCATGAGACTCTTATCTCCAATAAACCACCAGAAAACCGGAAGTGTTGCTATGGCTCAAGTGGTAGAATGCTCACCTTGAGCTGAAAAGCTGAGCAACAGAGCTCAGGCCCAGAGTTCAAGCCCCACCACTGACAAAAAAAAAAAAAGCCAGGAAGAAGAATCAGATGGATCTCATGTTGCTCATGCTAGTGTACATCTTAGGGCAAGTTATTGAACTCATGTCTCACCTTTACTACAAGGTAAAGATAAACAAAGTATGCTCAGCCTAGCACTATGGATCACACAATCCTAGCAACTCAGGAGGCTGAGATCTAAAGAAGAAGGTACACTCATTGCCTGAGAATTGAGATGGTACATGCAAAGAGAATCAAGGCAGAGTTTAATATAATTATCACTTCTAAGGAAATACTCCTTGCTATTATATTACCAGAATTTTATTTTTTTTTTTTGGTCAGTCATGGGACTTGAACTCTTGGCCTGGGCATTGTCCCTAAGCTGTTCAGCTCAAGGCTTGTACTCTACTACTTGAGCCACAGCGCCACTTTTGGTTTTCTGGTAATTGGAGATAAGAGTCTCACAGATGTTCCTGCCCAGGCTGGCTTTGAACCTCAATCCTCAGATCTCAGCCTCCTGAGTAGCTAGGATTACAGGCATTAGCCACTGGCGCTCGGCTATATTACCAGAATTCTTAAAGGAACTGGCAAATAGAAAGCAGGATTGGAGGTTGTGACGGGTCAGCCAGGCTGACCATATGAACTTGAAGGAGTCCCCCCCACCCCCACCCCCTGCTACCCCATCACGATGAGATGACACAGGGGATATGCCACAATGTCTCAGCATGGCTGATCAGATTGGAAAGTGACTTGAAGAAAAGCTGGGTTTCCCACTGTGAGAGGCCTCACCTCTGCTCTGTGACATTGCAGTCGGGAAGATCAGCATCATGTCTCTGAGTAGCGCCTTCAGGGCTGTGGGCAACGACCCTGGGATCATCACCTGGAGAATTGAGGTGAGCTATGAGTGGCATTCCCTCCTCCTGACGGCCAGGACCTCTGCCCTCCTGCCCTCATGAGCCTGTGGCCTGAGGAAGGCAGCATCAGACTGTATGTTTTCCAATCCTTATCTCCCTCCCCAGTGCTCAAAGCAGGTATGTGGCAGGAAGAGGAATTTTTTTTAGTCTCTGAAAGCAGGTCTCTGAGCAAAAAGTGAGCTGTTCTTTATCCGGCCATCTGCTCAGTGAGTCTATCCTTACAGTAAATGCCTTGGGGAGATGGCGGGGAGTGCAAGACTCACCCTAGGGGACTTCTGGCTGGGAGGGTCAAAAAGTGGACATGTCGGGGCTGGGAAGGTAGCTCAGCGGTAGAGTGCATGCCTTGCAAGCATGAGGCCCTGGGTTCGATTCCTCAGTACCACATAAACAGAAAAAGCCGGAAGTGGTGCTATGGCTCCAGTGGTAGAGCGCTAGCCTTGAGCCGAAGAGTTGAGGGACAGAGCCCAGACCCAGAGTTCAGGCCCCATGACTGGCAAAAAAAAAAGAAAGTGGACATGTCATTTACCGAGCACTCTAGTTCCTGGGGGGAAGGGGGAGGAGTGCTGCCCAGAGGCCTTTCAGAGCTGGTGAGGGGCAGCCTCAGTCACTTCCAACGTTTTAAGACTCCCAGTTTGCTTGAAAAAGAGAAGGAACTAAAACAGAATTAGAAAATTTGTGGTATATTTAACCTTTTTTACATAGAACACACATTTGACATAGAACACGAAGTATGGCTGTAGTGATGACAATTTACATGCAGGATCCCAACTTGAGACTTCAAATATGGGTCACTAAGCAATATCAGCCTCCATCAGCCTCCTTACCTGTGCAGACTCCCAGCCTTAAACCCAAAAGGGCAGGCCTGGCCAGCTCTGGGTGGTCAGAGTAAAGGGCAGAGTGTCAGAGGCATTGGTACTGGCACTGCTCAGACACATTCAATTCTTCCCCCTGCAAAGGGCCCAGGGGCTTGGAGAAATGAGAACCAACAGGACAAAAGGAGATGTATAGGGTGAAGGAAACCAGGACAGGACCCAGATCCAAGCTTAGGGTGATGAAGACAGAGCAAACAGAAACCAGAGCAGCAGCCACATGAATCGAGTGCCAGCTCCTCTCTCCCTGTGGGGTCCCTGGGACATCTCTCTACTTGTCCTCTAGCACTTGTGCCAAATGACAGGAGAGGGAAGCTTGACAGGAAGAGAGGAGTGAGAACTACTGCCTGGATGTCTCCCTTGTCTTTCCAGAAAATGGAGCTGGCACTGGTGCCGCTGAGTGCCCACGGCAACTTTTATGAGGGGGACTGCTACATCGTCCTCTCGGTGAGCGCCGTCTTCCCCACTCCTTTCAGTTCTCCCCTGAGAGCCAGGTCCCGGGTTCTGCTGAGAAATCTACTGACAGAGAAACGAAAAAGGGCTCCTGTTGTCTGTCAATTCCACCTCAATGTTATACAGAGAAGACCTCAAGTTTGACTGAGAGGCCACCAGTAGGCCTGGGGTTTTTAATTTTGCATCCGAGGCCAGGCATAGAGCTTCTGTCTGGACCTTAACAAATTGCCCACAAGCAGCAATTCTTCCTCCTGGAGCCCAAGCCCCACACTAAAGTGGTATGGCAGAGAGCCAGACAAATACAAGCCAGACAAATACAATATCCCATATGAATAGGGCTGACAGCCATGCAGACGCACGGGTTGAGGGAAGCAGGGAGACCTGAAGGCAGGTAAGTCTGCAATCAACTGGGCAAAGATTCCCTACTGGTCTCCGTTTATTTTGAACACATCTGTCTACTTGCCCATACGTGGGAAGAAATTTGGGCTGCTAAAAGCTGGAGCTACTGGGGCTGGGAAGGTGGCTCAGCGGTAGAGTGCATGCCTTGCAAGCATGAGGCCCTGGGTTCGATTCCTCAGCACCACATAAACAGAAAAAGCCAGAAGTGGCGCTGTGGCTCCAGTGGTAGAGCGCTAGCCTTGAGCTGAAGAGCTGAGGAATAGCGCCCAGGCCCAGAGTTCAGGCCCCATGACCAGCAAAAAAAAAAAAAAAGCTGGAGCTACTGAAACTCTAGTACCCACTACACTAACAGAACTCTGAACCTGCCAGGGGCAGGATACAAGCTCTGTATGCTGCCATCCTCCATCCCAATGGGGCTGGGAGCACAGAGGAAGAGAGCTGGCCCCTGACATGATCTCTCTGGCTGTATCTCAGACCCGGAAAGTGGGCAGTCTCCTCTCCCAGAACATTCACTTCTGGATCGGGAAGGATTCCTCCCAAGATGAGCAGAGCTGTGCAGCCATCTATACTACACAGCTAGATGACTACCTGGGGGGCGGCCCCGTGCAGCATCGTGAGGTGCAGTACCATGAGTCCGACACCTTCCGTGGCTACTTCAAGCAGGGCATCATGTAAGTAGTGATACACAGAGCAAGGAACCCAAAGGGCCAATGTGCCTATGGAAAAACAAACTCAAGGGATTCAAAGCAAAGCAAAGTAAAGCAATCCTTTGCACCTATTAAAACAGCATATATTAGAAAGCTGCATGGTGCTGGCAAGGATGTAGGGGAAACGAGCCTCACGCACTGCTGGCACAAGGGTGGACTGGCAGTGTGTCCTGAGTAGTAGTCAGTGCCCCTATGGTGAATCCTACTTCTGGATACATCACATACATCACATACCCAGATCCATGAGGACTCATGAACTAGAATGTTCACAGTAATATTACCAGTGGTGGTAGAAAACTGTGGACATTGTAGATGGCCATCATTGAGAGACTAGACATGTACCAGAAGCTACAGACAAGACACATACCTAGCACATAGACACATCTCCCAAACACGAACAAAGTAAGAAACACTGGCATACATAACAGAATGCCAAATTCTATCTTACAGAAATAATGCATACAAGCAACAGACACCTCTTGCCAAAATGAAGAAGAGACATGAAACTATCAGAATGTCTGGGCACAGAGGTTTCCATTTGTGTAACACCTAATGTTTTCCCCAGAACATAGCACACAGCAGATCCTCAATAAGTAACTGTGTGGTTGTTCCCTCAGCTATAAAAAGGGAGGTGTGGCCTCAGGGATGAAGCATGTGGAAACCAATACCTATGATGTGAAGCGGCTGTTACACGTGAAGGGGAAGAGAAACATTAGAGCTACTGAGGTAAGTCCTGCCCATTGCCTCTTGAACCCAGGGACTTCTCCCTATGGCATCCTATTAGAATCTGCCTCTGAACAATGTTTACCTCTCACCTTGCAGGTACCAGTGAGCTGGGACAGTTTTAACCGAGGTGATGTCTTCTTGCTGGACCTCGGGAAGGTCATCATCCAATGGAATGGCCCAGAGAGCAACAGTGGAGAGCGTCTGAAGGTAGGGCTGTCTCTAATCAGAGCTCTCTCCTCTCCCACTGGCCTGGTCATGGCCTGGGCTCCCTCAGATGCCTACTCTCTTTTCCTTCCATGCTGGCTGCTCCTCAAGATTCAAGGTGGCCCTTTAGAGTAGACTGTCTTGCAGACAGGCCAAGTCCATGACTCATCCTAGTACTCCTCAGCATCAGAATAATTCTATGTGTGGGATCCAAGCTGACCCTTCCCTCTACCCCTCTTTGCCCCTCCCAGTCCCCCTTCCCTGCCACCCCACAGCCAAGTCATCAGGCAGGGGTCCCTGATGAGCTGAGTGCTTCCTTGGGCTTCTTTGACAGGCTATGCTTCTGGCAAAGGATATCCGGGACAGAGAGCGAGGGGGCCGTGCTGAAATAGGAGTGATTGAGGGAGACAAGGAGGCAGCCAGCCGGGAGCTGATGATAGTCCTTCAGGACACTCTTGGCCGTCGCTCCATTATCAAGCCTGCAATCCCCGATGAGATCATAGATCAGCAGCAGAAATCAAATATTATGTTGTATCAGTGAGTAGCTAAACTTAGCTTGGCTGCTTGTTTTGGGTGCTGGCATCTGGCTTTTTTCTTTCTTTCCTCCCTTTCCCTTCCCTTCCTTTTCTTCCTTTCCTTTCCCTTTACATCCCTTCCTTTCCCTTTCTTCTCTCCTCCTCCTTCTCCACCACCACCACCACTTCCTCTTTCTCCTCTTCTTCTTTTTCCTTGGCAGTCCTGAGATTTGAATTCTTGGTCCTTTTTATTTTTGGTCATGGGGCTTGAACTCAAGGCCTGTGCTCTGTCCTGGAGCTCTTTTGCTCAATACTAGTGCTCTACCACTTTGAGCCACAGCTCCTCTTCCAATTTATGAATGGTGAATCGGAGATAAGAGTCTCACAGGCACTTTTCTTTCTGGGCTGGCTTTGAACTATGATCCTGACACCTCAGCCTCCTGAGTAGCTAGGATTACAGGTGTGAGCCACCAGTACTCTTGGGACTTTTTTTTTTTTTGTCAGTTGTAGGCCTGAACTCTGGGTCTGGGCGCTGTCCCTCAGCTCTTCAGCTCAAGGCTAGCACTCTACCACTTGAGCCACAGCGCGACTTCTGGCCTTTTCTGCTTATATGGTGTTGAGGAATCAAATCCAGGGCCTCATGCATGCAAGGCAAGCACTCTACCACTGAGCCATCTTCCCAGCCTTCTTGGGACTTTTTAATGACAGCTCCTAAAGGAGATTAGAGATGCCCCTCCCAAGGAGCTATCTTTGGTATTACTTATTTGTTGGAAGTCCTGGGACTTGAACTCAGGGCCTGGACACTGTCCCTGAGCTTCTCTGTGCTCAAGGCTAGTACTCTACCACTTGAGCCACAGCACCATTTCTGTTTATGTGGTATTTAGGAATCAAACCCAGGGCTTCATGCATACTAGGCAAGCACTCTACCACTAAGCCACATTACCAGCCAATCTTCTGTACTTTTTAGCAACTCCTCTGACCTCCTGGAGAGACCTTTCCTGTACTGTGGTCTAGACATCTCCCAGGGTTGTGGAAAGTGTAAAATTTAGGAGACAGCTGCATAGACGTCTTCTCTAGGGACTAGAACCTATACATTCCTGTCTGCACTAAAGCCATGTCTGTCCTAAGTCATATTCTACCAAGAATTCAGCCACAGGATGCTTTGTAGGAAAGAAAACTAACCTATCCCCTTCTTCAGTGTCTCAGACACAGCTGGTCAGCTGGCAGTCGTGGAGGTGGCAACCAGGCCGCTAGTTCAAGACTTACTAAACCATGACGTGAGTAGAGCTTCAGGGGGTTTTGCATGAGGTAGCCAGACATGGCCTCAGATGCTGACCCTAGGCAGAGTCCTTTCTTCTGTCTTGAGCAACAGTAACCATAGTTATCTCTGACTGCTTCAGGACTGCTACATCCTGGACCACAGCGGAGCCAAGATCTATGTGTGGAAAGGAAAAGGAGCTACAAAGGTTGAGAAACAAGCGGCCATGTCCAAAGCCTTGGTAGGAGCTGCAAATATGTGGTACTGTCTCAAAAAGTCAGCTAATGTCACTTTACATGTGTGTGGAGCCACTCCAGGCACTTGAGCACAGAACGCTGCCGTTACACACACAGACTTCAAAGTCAGACAGACAGACTGAGGTTCAAAGGCAGGTTTTACTTTTTATCAGCTGGGGGAGTGTTCGGGGGAAGACTACAGAGCCGTGGTTCCTCATGCCTACCACAGGGTAATACTATATTCCAAGGTTGTAAAGTACTCAACAGTACTTGATACACACCACCTGCTCCATATTATTGAAGGAGATCTCATCTGTCAAGGCTAATGGCTCTGTCTTCAAGGAACTTATGATATTTGTGTACATCCAGCAAATGACCTAACGCAATGCCCTAAAAAGCAATAAATGAATAAATGACTGTGATACAGTCAGTAGGATGATGTAAGTACAGAAAGGACATAACATCAAAGGTCTTGCAAAAACAATAACAACAATAATTTTGGCAGGCTAAATAAAGAGATGCAAAAATATCCCACACATGAAACTGGTCCTAACTGGAAGAGAGCAAAGGAAGGGGTAACATTGTGCAAAAAGAAATGTACCTGATTTAGGAAACAGTAAGCCCTCTGTACATCACTTTTACAATAACAATTTTTTTTTTGTCCAGTCGTGGGGCCTGAACTCTGGTCCTGGGCGCTGTCCCTCAGCTCTTCGGCTCAAGGCTAGCACTCTACCACTTGAGCCACAGCGCCACTTCTGGCTTTTTTCTTTTTGTTTATGTGGAGCTGAAGAATTGAACCCAGGGCCTCATGCATGCAAGGCAAGTGCTCTACCACTGAGCCACCTTCCCAGCCCCTACAATAACAATTTTAAAAAATAAATAAATACAAAAGAAAAAAAACTGGTCCTTAGACAGAAGTGAGTTTGAGCTTGACTGACTCCTAGAGGGGAGGGATGCTACTGACTGGCTTCAAAGGGGTGAATCACAAGCAAAGCACTCAGTGCATCCTCCAACTGACTCTGCCTTTGTATGGGGGTGGGGGTTCTTCAGGGCTTCATCAAGATAAAGGGTTACCCCAGCAGCACCAACGTGGAAATGGTCAATGACGGTGCTGAGTCAGCTATGTTCAAGCAGCTGTTCCAGAAGTGGTCAGTGAAGGACCAGACCACAGGCCTGGGGAAAACGTTCAGCATTGGTAAAATAGGTGAGATTATCTCCCAGGGTATTTTCTCCTGCTAGGACTCTAGAGTCATGGGTGCTTCTCGCTCACTGGGTCTTTCCCAATCCCTTATCTGCAGCTAAAGTTTTCCAGGACAAGTTTGATGTGACTCTGCTACACAACAAGCCAGAGGTAGCTGCCCAGGAGAGAATGGTGGATGATGGCAATGGGAAAGTTGAGGTGAGGATGGTAAGGGCAGACCTGACTGCCAGGGCTGTTCCTGCTGCCAAGGAAAGTAGGCTATTCTGTCTGCTTCGCTATTCGCTCTCCCCCCACACCTCTGCATTTGCAAGTTGCAGTTTACCCACAATGCTTCAGGGAAGTGAGAGACACATCCCTAAATGTGTTATCACTTGTAGATCAATTCCAATCATCACTCAGCCTGCAAAGACCCAGCTGTGATGGGAGGTACTAGAGCGGGGCAACCCTGGTCTTCTCAATGCTCAAATCATGCAAATGTGATGAGCCCTCACCACTGGCTGGGAAGATCTCACCCAGATGGGGTCCCTGTTCAGCATGCCCCACTTCCCTTTAGGTAGTTCTCCCTAACACAACACCCACCTCTGTGGGGTCCATCTTCTGTGCCTAGGTCTGGAGAATTGAGAACCTGGAGCTGGTCCCTGTGGAGCAGCAGTGGCATGGCTTCTTCTATGGGGGAGACTGCTACCTGGTTCTCTACACGTATGAGGTGAACAGAAAGCCACACTACATCCTGTACATCTGGCAGGTAGGCCTGGGGCAGGCCTTCAGCTTTGGATCTAGATACTTTCCCTAGCCGCTGGGATAGGGTGGATAAGCAGGGAGCTACCACTCCCCTCTTGCCTCTGCAGGGCCGCCATGCCTCACAGGATGAGCTGGCAGCTTCAGCCTACCTAGCAGTGGACATGGATCAGCAGTTTGATGGGGCCCCCGTTCAGGTTCGGGTCAGTATGGGGAAGGAGCCACGCCACTTCATGGCCATCTTCAAAGGAAAGCTGGTTATCTATGAGGTGAGGATCATGAGGAAGGCTCAGAGCCAGCCAGTTATTAGAGGGGATATAGAGAAAGGTGGGATGAGGAGCAGTATCGAGTTAGACATAGAGACAGGGGATTAGTCCAAGACACTCGGGGAGATCCCAAATGCCTAGGGCTTCAAGTCCAAACTTAACAACATTCTGACCCATATTACCAGTGTAGGAGCATTGCCCTCAGCAATTCAGCTTGTGTCCTCCCCTCCAGTCAGGTGGGTCTCCTCATTAGACTTCATACATGCTACACCTTACCATCTATTTGTGTACCTTCAAGTTCAAGGCCTACTTCTTCCATGAAGCCCTGGCTGAAGCATTTTCTGCCAGGTACTGTATAAGGTCACATGTTAGATATCATACAAGTCTGGGGTCAAGCCCTCATCTTGTCATTTATTAGCCAGGTTTCTAAATCTCAGTTCCTTCATCTGCTCTGTGGAATACCAGTACCTATTTCATAGCTATTATAAGGTCTCATGAGAAGGCACTAGCCACAGATCCTGGCATATGAAAATATTGTCAGAATGAGAATATTAGGCAAGTCTTGGTGCAACACATCTATACTCGCATCACTCAGGCAGCCAGGGCAAAAGGATCAAAGTGACACCAGCCTGGGCTACATAGTGAGTTCTGGGGCAGCATGAACCATGTACAACCCTGTCTCAAAACAAAGAAAGTAAATATTATTGGTAGCATAATCCCTGTTCCCTCTGATCTTTGCCAGTTAGCCTAGAAGCTCCTGAAGGGCACAGCCAGCCCTGTGCTGGTGGAATCCTCTATAGATCTAGACTCTGCATTTCTTCCCTCTCTCCCCCAGGGTGGGACTTCCAGGAAAGAAAACCCTGAGCCTGACCCTCCCGTGAGGCTCTTCCAGATTCAAGGAAATGACAAATTTAACACCAAAGCAGTGGAAGTGCCAGCCTTTGCTTCCTCCCTAAACTCTAATGATGTCTTCCTGCTGAGAACCCAGGCAGAGCACTACCTGTGGTATGGCAAGGTAGGATGGCTAGGCCCAATGGTCAGATAAGCGCTCTTCAGCCCTTGCACTATCCTATCTTCTCACTCCTGGTCAGCAAGATCAAAGGAACTAGAATGTGTAGTCCTAGTGCTGTAGTCTAGTGCTGTAGTCCTCCGAAAGGTTTTATTCCCCCTTAAACATATCTTCAAAGAAAGTACCAACATTCCCTATAATCGGGCCTCTATCAGAACTGCCCTGCCCTGCTCACCCAGAAGATATGCCATAAACTTCCATATGCATGAAGGTTAGAAAAGCCAACCTTCCCACATGAGGCTAGTGACTGGTAACAGGACAGGTGCTCACACAGACCAAAAATATTTTTAAAACAGGATGTTGTCAATATGGCATGAGTGCCTTAAAAACACTAAAATTGTTTCACAAAAGAGAACTGAATTTGAGCATGGCACATTTGTAATCCCAGCTCCTTAAGAGACTGAGATTAGGGATTAGGGTCATGGCTCCAGTAGTAAAACACTTGCTTAGCAAGTGCAAGAAGTGCAAGGGCCTGAGTGCAATCCCAGTACCATCAAAAGAAAACAAACAAACAAAAAGGCTGAGGTATGAGCTGGGAATGTGACTTAGATAAGGGCCTCAAAGACTTTCTTGCCCAGGCTGGCTTTGAAACACAACCCTCAGATATCAGCCTCCTGAGTAGCTAGATTATAGGCATGAAACAACAGGGTCAAGCTTTATTCTTTTTTTTTCCTTAAAAAAATGGTAATAATCCAAAGCAGGAGCTAAGTCAGAGTCTAGTCCTGTTCTTTGTGAGTGCCCCAGCTTCCTGCCTCCCCTCACAGCACCTAGGACACATCCATCTTCTCCTCCTGAGGGTCTGGTGCAGCAGCCAACTCTGATCACACTGCATCCCAGAAACTTCTCTTTCCCATCAGCATGCCCATACCCCTGTTCAGCTAACGTTTGTGCTCTTTGCCCCACGCAGGGGTCCAGTGGGGACGAGAGGGCAATGGCTAAGGAGCTGGCTGGGCTTCTCTGTAATAGCACTGAAGACACTGTGGCTGAGGGCCAGGAGTCTGCAGAGTTTTGGGACCTACTGGGAGGGAAAACCCCTTATGCCAATGACAAAAGGTATGGTGACACCCTTCTCATTGAGACTCCTCCTGCCTCGTGTCTTGTGAATCCTAAGTTCCTTTTGTTTTTACACCATGATTTCTACACACCTGTTTCTGTTTGGACTGTATTATAGACTACAGCAGGAAACCCTAGATATCCAGCCCCGCCTCTTTGAATGTTCCAATAAGACAGGTCGGTTTATGGTCACTGAGATCACAGACTTCACCCAGGATGATCTGAACCCAGGTGATGTGATGCTCCTGGATACCTGGGACCAGGTAAGACACAGATACAGAATATATGGCAAATGGCAAAGGTCCCCAAAGCTTAGGCTAGGTGTGTGTGTGTGTGTGTGTGTGTGTGTGTGTGTGTGTGTGTGTGTAATATTCCCACCTAGACTCCCAAAGCTTAGGCTAGGTGTGTGTGTGTGTGTGTGTGTGTGTGTGTGTGTGTGTGTGTAATATTCCCACCTAGACTGAGCCCAGGTTAGCCCCAGGTCAAACATTTATCAGTGGTAACCAAAGGAAGTGCCTGCTTTTTACCATGGTTATGTTTAAATTTCCCACCTTGCTTTGGAAAAATCAGACCACTCTATTATCCTGCCCTTCTTTTAGGGCAATAACAAGATTCTAAATACAGAGCTTTTGAGCCTTTCAGGGTCCAAGGAATATGACATATCTTTATCACCTGTGATAAATGACATAAAGAATGGGAAATCTTTAAGGCAACTCACTGTCTTCAGTTCAGCTCGCCAAGCATCCTCAGGGCATATCATCCATGCTAACTACTGTGTCAATGGGAGTCACCTAGGTGACTGGAAGGACAGAGAAACATCATTGTATCATAAGGAGGTACATACAAGGTGCATGGGAGCACAAATAAGGGAACTCAACATTGCGTAGAGCTCTAAGAACACTTCCTAGAGGAAGACTCCCAGGTTGAATATCAAAGGATGAGTAGGCACTAACTGGCAAAGGATGGAGAAAGGGCTGGCGGTATGGCTCAAGTGGTAACATATTTGCCTAGAAAGTACAATCTCCTGAATTCAATCTCTGTATACTAAAACATCGGGGAGAAGAATGAAGGCTAGAGACCTGAGCAAAGGAAATAGCATACAGAAAAGCACCATGGAGATAAAGCTCAATAGTTAAGAAGCACCATAGAGATGAAGCTCAAGAAGTAGGTATAGACCTGACCTACCATGCCAGGAAGTTTATCCTGACTTTTAAGCAGATGAACAACATGTTCAGATAGTACTTTAGATAGATCACTCCTGCAAATGGAGAAGAGGGTTGGGGTCAAGGAAGAGCTGCTTGGGTCCACAAAAGATCAGTAGAAGAGAGGCAGAAGGATTGTGACAGACTTGAGAAATGTCAGGGAGATCAAGTTGGCCAGTCCTGGTGATTCACTGGAGGGAGGGGGTTAAGGATATGGCTCCTGGGTTTCTTGCCTTAGGTGATTGGTGGATATCACTCTCCAAGAGTAGAAATTTAGACACTTATGTAGAAAACTACATTTGGGAAGGGTTTTATTTGAGGTATATCGAGAAAGATTTTTTTGTTTGGGTTAGTTTTTTTTGGGGGGTGGGTGTGAAGGTTGGTAAGAATTCAAATTCAGGAAGCTGAAATTCAGGGAAAACTCAGATTTGGGTATATAGATTTGAGAGATGTACATGACAATTAAAATCACAAAGCTAGTTCTGGGAAAACTGTTCTCTGCTGAACAAATTAAGCTGAGAACATTTTCCAGGGCTGTAAATTGCTGAGAGAGGAGGAGCAGTGGACTTGGTCTAAGGTACCAGCATGAGACATGAGCAAGTATTAATCTGAACTACCCCAGGTGTTCTTGTGGATTGGAGCTGAGGCCAATGCCACAGAAAAGGAGAGAGCCCTTGCGACTGCCCAGGAATACCTGCATACTCACCCCAGTGGCCGAGATACCAACACCCCAATCCTCATCATCAAACAGGGATTTGAGCCTCCCATCTTCACAGGCTGGTTCCTGGCCTGGGACCCTCAAATTTGGAGTGTAAGAACAGAGATATTGGGGAATATGTTCTTTCTCACAACAGGTCAGAACTCAGGGCTGGGGGATGGGGAATGGCACACTAATTCAGGGGCTTATTAAAACTAGGACCTCTTCCACTCCCTGCCTTTTTTTTCCCTCCTCACCCCCATACCAATCAGTCCAGTTAGATCATTCACAACTGTTTTTAGCAGTAGGCAGTGTGAAGTAATAGTTCATGAAGTATATCCACACATGTCATCTTTTAGATATTTACAACTATCCTGAATAGACAATCCAAGACCTTGATTTCCCACATCACAGAAGACAAGGCCACGAGGACAAGTTGTTTGTCCTAGTCACAATCAGATGACAGTAAGAATCCAGATTTCCTGACTTCTACTCAACTGTTCTTTCTTCAGTCTTGTACCGAGGACTATAGGGGCAGCATCAAAATCATGTTTAAGAACCTCTCTTCAGCTGGTGGCTCACACCTATAATCCTTGTTATACAGGAGGCTGAGATCTGAGGAATGCAGTTTGAAGCTAGCCCAGGCAGGAAAGTCTTTAAGACTCTATATCCAATTAACCACCAAAAAGCCAGAAAAATGCCCAGGCCCTGAGTTTAAGGTCCAAGACTGGCACGTGCGCGCACGCGCGCACACACACACACACACACACACACACACACACACACACAAACACACGAGAGAAACAATAACCTCTCTTCCCTACATGAACCCACAAGGACGACTTTGGACTTTCCCCCCCTTATCTCTGAAATGCTTTCTGATTCTCCATCTCACTTGTTTTTCCTGAAGATATAGAACAGGCCCAAGATGCCCTTCACCTGTCTGCAATCCCTCATCCTGTTTTCCCTCTCTTCTCAGGCTGGAAAGTCATATGAGCAGTTAAAAGAGGAGCTGGGAGATGCTGCTGCTATCATTCGAATCACTGCGGTGAGTCAAGTTGCTGCTAGAGAAGCACCAGAGCCAAGAAAACATAGCTAATGCTGCAGTGGTCATGTGGGCAAGACTTACTATGTCTCCACTAACCATCAGTGCAGTTGTCTGTTTTCATATAAAGGTTGTGTTGTTTTGTTTTGTGTGCCTTGGCTAGAGCACACTAGGTAAGTGCTCTGTCCTTAAGCTATGACCCAGCCCCAAGGTTATTATTTTTTTTTAATGTCAGTCGTGGGGCTTGAACTCTGGACCTGGGCGCTGTCTCTGAGCTCTTTAGCTCAAGGCTAGCACTCTACCACTTGAGCCACAGCACCACTTCTGGTTTTCTTGTGGTTTATTCAAGATGAGTCTTAGACTTTCCTGCTCAGGCTGGCTTTGAACTGTGATCCTCAGATCTCTAGGATTACAGGTGTGCGCCACTGATGCCCAGCCCCAAGATTTTTTTAAGCAATAAAAAGCAGGTCTCAAGCACTTGGGAAAAGCAAAGGAAGAGAGATATGAGTTTGAGGTCAGCCTGGATGGCCTAAGGAGATCCTACCTCAAAAAACAAAAACACAGGAACTAGAGGTATAGCTCAAATGGTAGAGAGGGAGCCAATGAGTGAAAAGGCTGAATGAGAGTTCAAGGCCTAGTATTGGCACAAACAAAGAAAACTAATTTTATTAATCAATTCTCCTTGCCATTCAGGAGAGATTAAAATTTGTTGGCAGTATTTTTTCAGAATTAGCTTCTATCCCAAATACTATTTTTATCAGTTTCTGAAAGCAAAGTCCACAGAAACTTAGGCCATTTACTCCTGCTTTTACAACTGAAAGAAGCAGAGCTTCCAGGCAGGAATCCAAAAGCTCTTCAACATCAGGAGAAATATAGGGCACCAGGTGTTCAAACCATCTGCCAGTCTTGTCCTTTGTGCTACACAAAGTCAGACTCCAAAGCTAATGGTGAGGTAGTCTCTTTAAATTGTATCTAATAATTCAGGAGCAGTGGCATAAGTCTGTAATCCTAGCATTTGGGAGAGAATACAAGGATCAAGAGTTTGAAGCCAGCCTGATCTATGTATCAAGATTCTTTCAAAAATAAAAACAATTGGGTTGGTCATGGTGGTTTAAAAATTGTATTCAGGGGGTTGTAAAGATTAAGGCCAGGGAAGTGGCGCTGTAGCCACTTGAGCACTAGCCTTTGGCTGAAAAGCCGGGTGCTGGTGGCTCACGCATGTAATCCTAGCTACTCAAGAGGCTGAGATCTGAGATCACGGTTCAAAGCCAACCCAGGCAGGAAAGACTGTGAGACTCCTATCTCCAATAAACCACTAGAAAACCGGAAGTGGCCCTGTGGCTCAAGTGGTAGAGTGCTCGCCTTGAGCTGAAGAGCTGAGGGACAGCGCCCAGGCCCAGAGTTCAAGCCCCACGACTGACAAAAAAAAGATTTAAGGCCAGCCCAAACTTTTCATGGGGACTCCATCTCAATCAATAAAAGCTAGGATGGTGATGTGTACCTGCCATCCTAGCTACATAGGAAGTATAACTAGGAGGATCACAATCCCAGCCAACCTTGGCATAAAAGCAAGATCCTAATTTTTAAAATAACAATAGCAAAAAGGGCTAGGGCATGGCTCAAGTAGTAGAGTGTTTCAATAGCTAGAACAAGATCCCAAGTTCAAATTTCAATACTTCAATACTCAAGAGAATTTTATATTTAAGAAATAAAATTCTAGAAATATAAGGCCTAAATAAAAGTGCCAAAAGAAGTTGTATGCAGCTGGGAAGGTGGCTCAGTGGTAGAGCGCTTGCCTTGCGTGCATGAGGCCCTGCGTTCAATTCCCCAGCACCACGTAAGCAAAAAGAAAAAAAGCCGGAAGTGGCGCTGTGGCTCAAGTGGTAGAGCGCTAGCCTTGAACTGAAGAGCTGAGGGACAGCGCCCAGGCCCAGAGTTCAGGCCCCATGACCGGAACCTCCCCCCCCCCCCCGCCCCCGCAAAAAAAAAAAAAAAAGAAGAAGAAGAAGTTGTATGAGCCAGGTGCTGGTGGCTCATGCCTGTAATCCTAGGTACTCAGGAAGTGAGATCTGAGGGTGGCCAACTCAGGCAGGATAGTCCATGAGACTCTTATCTCCATTAGCTACTAAAACCCAGGAGTGAAGCTATGGCTCAAATGATAGAACGTTAGCATTGAGTAAAAAAGGTCAAAGACAGTGCCCAGGCCCTGAGTTCAAGCCCTATTACCAGCACAGAAATTAAAAATAAAACACCTGCTTGGGTGCTTGGGTGCCAGTAGCTCACATCTGTAATCCTAACTACTCAGAAGGCTGAGATGTGAAGAAGATCAGTTTGAAGCCAGCCTAGGCAGGAAAGTCTGTGACACTCCTATCTCCAATTAACCACCAAAAAGCCAGAAGTGAAGCTGTAGCCCAAGTAGAGCACTAGCCTTGAGCAGAAAAGAGAGAGAGCCTAGGCCAAGAGTTCAAGCCCCCAGGACTGACAAAAAAAAACGAACTGTATGAACACAATATTTAAAAGAAAAGAAACTTAAGACTGGCTGGAATTATAGTTCAGTGATAGAGCGCTTGCCTAGCATGCTGAAGCTCTTGGGTTCAATCCCAATAATAACAACAAAAGAGACTTGAGCACAGCATGTATTCCAAACTGAGTCCTTATGGACTCACCTCAGACTTACTGAATATGATCCCCCTCGAAAAAAGACCCCAAATTCTGAATGTTTTTAATTCCAAGATGATTTTGATATGTAGCCAGATTTGGAGAAAATCTGAAAGACGATCATAAAGAGTGGCACAACCAAAATGTAAATATTATACTCACATAGAACACTGATCACGTAAAACATGTGTTTTCTCATATCTCCATTCTTACCTAGGATATGAAGAATGCAACCTACACTCTGAATTCTGAGAATGAGCCAAAATATTATCCTGTAGAAGTTCTACTGAAAAATGTGGATCAGGAGCTACCTGAAGATGTAGATCCTGCCAAAAAGGAGGTGAGTATAGTTGAAGCAGCAATATCTGACAGAGCAGAGGAAAAACTCTCCATCAGCTAAAGCACCCATCTCAGTGTAAGGCCTAGGACAATTCTGGTACATTAGAGACATTTAGTGGATATTTGAGCTATCCAATAATTCAAAACCAAAAACTAAGGACTCACTCTCCATTGTGTTTTTCTCACCTTCTATGGATCCATCAAGTGGCCTCTCTCTATGCCTCTCCATCTCTACTACTAGGCTAGTCCACACATTTGGAACCAGCCCCACTGATTCCTATCTCATTAATAACATCAACATTATTACTGATAGCCAAAGGAATATTTTAAAAGTGGATGGGACTTCACTGTTTAAAACACAACGAACAGCTTCCTATTGCACTTACAAAAGAATCAGAGGTCTACACAATCTGGTCACTGCCCCCCTCTGGGATTTCATCTATCATACCACACTACCCATTTTATTTAATAACCATCAGCTCTGTGGCTGCTTTTACTTAAACATGCTGAACACTGCCTTGGAGGCTTTGTACTTACTGGAGCTCCTGCCTGGAACATTCTCCTTTTCACCATTTAGCTCAAGTGTCACTTCTGTAGGGAGACCTCTCTTCCCTGACCACTTGTTATCTAACTAACACTGCTTCCCTCTAGACTTGGTCACTAATTCTCTTCTCCTGTAATGACATCCAGTTGGTCCATTATGCTCTCAGCTTTCCAGCACCTATAACTGTGCTCCTTGCGTTTTGCTTGAATGAATTAACCTATTTACGTTGAGCTAATTAATTTTCCCCTTGAAAGAGCTGATTTGGGAAAAGGTCTCTGAATTTCCCACTATATCTCATCTAACCAAGTCCTAAGTATCTGGAGTATAATGTTCTTTTTGTATGTATGCCAGTACTACCACTTGAACTCAGGGCCTTACAAATCTCACTTGGCTTTTTCCCTCAAGGTGGGTGTTTACCACTTGAGCCATACCTCTATTTGTGGCTTTTTGGTGGTTGAGTTTCATTGGACTTTTCTGCTCAGGCAGAAAACTAAGGATTACAGACATGAGCTACTAGCCCCCAGCTATAATGTTAAATTTTTTGGTGGTACTGGGGTTTGAACTCAAGGCCTTGTACTTACTAGGCAGCACTCTTACCACTGGAACCACTCTGTTAGCTCAAGACTATAATGTTCTTGAAAGCAGAGGCTACATGTTAATAACTTCTACTTAGGCACAAAATATGTATCATATCCATAATTGTTAGCCTGAATGCTCTCAGGAAGATCCACTTGATCTGATCTTGCACTTGCAAAGTTCAGGAAATGAAAGCGGAGAAGGAACTATGGATCAGGAGCTAAGCTTTTACCAAGTCCTTGGTTCAATTCCCAACACCAAAAAATAATTAAGTCCTGGACAAACATGGTAGCAAGAATATAAAAGAAAAGTATCATCAACTAAATTGAATGTCTAGAATTCATACATAGCCCATTTACTATCATTCTGGCAAGAAACCAGGACCATGAGAACAGTGAACCCAGTTAGCTACTTCCACACAGAAAATGAGACCACAGCAGGAACACATCTGCCATGACTAACTTGTTTGTTAGACTTCACCCTTCAGGGGCTGCCTAGGCCTCCCTTATGCCTACTCCCCCCACCTCTGTTGATATTAACAGGTGTCCTGTGTTCCTCCTAACTAGAAGCTTTGTTTTCACTCTTAGAATTACCTCTCTGAAAAGGACTTTGTGTCTGTCTTTGGCATCACAAGAGGACAGTTTACTGCTCTGCCTGGCTGGAAACAGCTCCAACTGAAGAAAGAAAAGGGGCTTTTCTAAGGCAAGAAGGCATATACCTATTCAAGACCACCAAAGAGAGCTCACTGCCAATATCAGTAAAGAACGTATCTACCAACTTCTGCCAAATATTCAGCCACCGATTTAATTATAATAATCTAAGAGTCAGCATGTTCATTTTTGTCTCATCCTTGCAATCCTTGTTTGATATAGCCTAAAAGGTTAACTACCCACTTTTTGGTTTCTAGCTAAAATTTTAGCAGGAAGTACTAAAATCTGCATGAATATATAAGTCAAAAGGAGAAGCAAAAAAACTAAGCTTGAAATGTTTAACAATGCCAGGACCTACATTTGCTTTAAAATTTAAGATTAGGGGCTGGGAAGTTGGCTCAGTGGTAGAGTGCTTGCCTCGCATACATGAGGCCCTGGGTTTGATTCCTCAGTACCACATAAGAAGAAAAAAGCCAGAAGTGGTGCTGTAGTTCAAGTAGTAGAGTGCTAGCCTTGAGCTGAAGAACTGAGGGACAGAGCCCAGCCCAGAGTCAGCCCCCACGACCGACAAAATAAAATAAAATTAGTATTTCTAAAACCTATTTAACCCACAAAGCAATGAAGCTATTTGCATGCATACATCCAGGATGAAAATCTAAATGCCAAGATCTCTTATGTGCCAGAGGATTTTTAACTTTTCAAATAAAGAAACCTGGATGAATAAACGGAATTCTTTTCAGTATTGGGGCTTGTTTGTTCTGGTCATCTCACTATATGTAGGGAGCAGCGTTTTCAGTACTGCTTTCAGTAAAAGGTATGTTGAATGAGCTCTCTAGCTAACTGTACCACTATAATTCCTACCATTGTCAAAATCTGCCTTATTGGGTAAGAGATGCAGCTCAAAGTGTTTGCCTTACAATGTTTGAGACCCTGGGTTACATCTCCAACACCTCAAAAACAAAATGTCCTGCATTATATCTGTGCAGGAAACTCAGTACCTACCTACACGCTATTACCCAAAGGGAAGCAGAGCCACATGCTATTAATTTCAATGAACAAGTGTATGTATCAGTTCAGAGAGCTTTCAAAGCATTCTACAGACACCAACAAATGAGCCCACATTTTCCAGATAACTCTAGCATGAATCAACAATTCCAAAGGAATTCACAAAGCGGAAGTAATGAACTGGAGAAGTTCCAGGGAAGAAGTTTAGTCCAAAGTGTCAGAAATGAAAGCATAACAAGAGACTTCTGTCACAGGAGGAGTATGACAATGTGTGCCTTAAAAGTTTAAGGAACACCAAGAAATCAGTGTTGGAGGCAACAACAACACAGCTGTTGGTGCCTGTTCTAGCCACTGTCAGTCACACAAGACTTGCCTGTTCTCCTGAAAGCTGTTACAAGAAAGACAATAAAAAACTAATCCTGCTGGCTGCCTGGGGCTCATATCTATAATCCTAGCTACTAAGGAGGCTGAGAACTGAGGATCATGGTTCAAAGCCAGCCTGGGCAGGAAAGTCCGTGAGACTCTTATCTCCAATTAACCACTAGAAAACCGAAGTGGTGCTGTGGCTCAAGTGAAAGAGTGCAGGCCTTGAGCTAAAGAGCTCAGGTTCAGCGCCCCAGGCCCTGAGTTCAAGCCCCAAGACCAAAAGAAAAAAAAAAAAAAAAAACTAATCCCAGTTCTATGCAAACAAGGAAAAATTATGCTCTATTATATTTATTTAATAAGTTTACTCATGAGCACTATAAATTCACCAGAAAAACAAATTCTGGGGGTAAAGATGCTTAGGAAATAACTTGAGTAATTATTATATTCTAGGCCCAAAGTGTTTGGAACCTAATCTGCTTCTACTGTCTCTTCACTTTCTCCACATTCAAACCGCACAAAGTCCACTACAGACACCCCTTGCGGCTGCACATATTGTCCCAATGTAATGGAGGGGTCCAGCAAGTATGGCTGGGATAGCATCTTGGTCTCTGACTCTCCTCCAGGTTCATCATCCAGGGAGCCAACAGAGAGAGGGGCCATGCCCACCACATGCTGTCCCAGGCGGCGGCCAAGGTCCTCCAGGTTTACTTTCCGCACAGATGTCTCGCAGATGACCAGGGCCCCGTACTTCCCCAGCACCAGGTTGTGGAGTGAGGGGCTGTGCATTGTTCCATGCACATAAGACCCAACGTAGAACCCAGATGGCACCTTCACCCAGGCAGCTCGTTTAAGAGTCATGTTTTCCCCCAGCTTCCCTATAACAAAGCAAAAACAAAAAGCAAAATACCATCAGAAAGTGATGCCTGTGGTGGTACAATATAAGCACAGAACAGAACAAGTCTGGAAGATCATCCTTCTGCACCTGTATTAGATATGCAGAAAGACAGAGACACAGGTTTCAGATTTTTTTAGAGACAAAGGAATGCGGGGGAAGGGTACTTTAAAGAGCACCAACTAGCTCGGTGCCAATAGGCCACACCTATGATCCTTCTCAAGTGTCTGAAGATCAAGGTTCAAAGCCATCCAGGAATGAAAAGTCCTTATTTCCAATTAACTAGCAAATAAAAATTCTTATCTCCAATTAACTAGCAAAAAGCTGGCTCCAGGGCTGGGAAGGTAGCTCAGCGGTAGAGTGCATGCCTTGCAAGCATGAGGCCCTGGGTTCGATTCCTCAGTACCACATCAACAGAAAAAGCCGGAAGTGGCGCTATGGCTCCAGTGGTAGAACACTAGCCTTGAGCTGAAGAGCTGAGGGACAGCGCCCAGACCCAGAGTTCAGGCCCCATGACCAGCAAAAAAAAAAAAAAGCTGGCTCCAGTGGTAAAGTAAAAAAAAAAAAAGCTGGCTCCAGTGGTAAAGTACCAGCAGTGAGTGAAAAAGCCAACTGAAAGCATAAGGCTCTAAGTTCAACCTAAATACACACACACACACACACACACACACACACACACACACACACACACACACACACACACACACACACACACACACACACACACACACACACACACACACACACACGAGAGAGAGAGAGGCATCAACCAGGTACTGGTGGCTCATGCCTGTAATCCTAGCTACTCAGAAGGCTGAGATCTGAGGACTGCAGTTTGAAGCCAATCTGGGCAGAAAATATGTGAGACTTATCTCAATTAGCCACCAAAAAGCTAGAAGTGGAGCTGTGGCTCAAGTGTTAGAGCACTAGCCTTGTGCACAGTTCAGGGACAGTGCCCAGGCTCTGAGTTCAAGCCATAAGACTGGCACCAAAACCAAAACCAAACAAATCAACCATGTACCAGGCACTTCAATATAAAAAATAGATATACATTTTTAGATCCAAGCCAGCCTGAGCCAATGAGACCCTGTCTCAAAAACAAATGAATTAATAGACTTGCACCCCAGCTTCTGCCCCTTTCCAGTCATATGACCTTGGGCAAGAGAATAAATGACATAATCACATTTACTAATGTGCTAATATACTAATTTCCTCATATGCAAAATGGAGATACCTACCTATTAGGGTTGTTGGGAAAAATAAGGTAATATATATAAAATTATTTGTTAAAATATCTGGCATACAGTGAGCACTCAGATGCTATTATTATATATTAAATGTAGGCTTAGAGAGCTTAAGGAACCCACCCAATAACATGTGGCAGAGCCTGAATTAAAACTCAAATCTGACTTCAAAGCAACTAAGTGATTTTTCCCCCCAGCAAATTACCATCCCTCCCAAATCTACAATAAATGATACAGCAAAGTCCCGATCATCTACTGTATCAAAAGAAAGTCTACAACTAAAAGCCTCTAGTGTAGGGAGCAAGTGGTTCATGCCTGTAATCCTAGCATCTCAAGGGGCTGATATCTGAGTATCTCAGTTCAAAGTCAGTACAGGTAGAAAAGTCTGTGAGACACTTATCTCTAATTAAATACCATCAAAAAAGTCACAGGTAGAGCTGCAGCTCAAGTGAAGTAGCAGGGCACTAATCTTGAGCACAAAAATTCAGGACAGTTTCCAGGCCCAGAGTTCAAGACCCAAGACTGGCATCAAAGAAAACAAAATAATTTCAACTTCCTCTTAACAGAAATAAAGGACATATTCAGAGTTGTTTATAAGAGCCTAAGTTTATCAGTTTTCTTCTTTCTCTCAGCATGCCATTCCTCCAACAGAAGTGCAAATAAAAGTTAAACAATTAAAAAAAAACAAAAAAAAGCCAGGCACCAGTGGCTCATGCCTATAATCCTAGCTACTCAGGAGGCTAAGGCTAAGATCTGAGGATCATGGTTTGAAGCCAGCCCAGGCATCAAAGTCCATGAAACTCTTTCCAATTAACTACCAGAAAACTAGAAGTGGCCCTGTGGCTCAAAGTGGTAGAGTGCTAGCCTTGAGCAAAAGCAGCCCTGAGTTCAAGCAGTACAACCAACAACAAAAACAAAAAAATTAGAAAGAACAGGAGGAATAAACAAAAAGGTCTGGATAAAGATAACTGGATTAGCCAGTTATACCTAAAATGAAAAGGGAGAATCCAGAAACCAAAGTACATTTTTAAAATAGCTTGAATACAGGTTGGGAATGAGGCTTAATGGTAAAGTGACTGCCTAGCATGCATGAAGCCCTGGGCTCAATTCCTCAGTACCACATAAACAGAATAAGCAGGAAGTGGTTCTGTGGCTTAAGTAGTAGAGCGCTAGCCTTGAGCAAAAGAAGCTCAGGACAGTGCCCAGGCCTTGAGCTCAAGCTTCAGGACTGGCCAAAAAAAAAAGCTTGAATAGACATTCAATGGTTAATTCTTAGGAACTGATACACCCAGTTCTTCCAGGATTACTTACTAAGCTCCATTTCTTAATAAGGCTGTGCAGTAGGGTTCTCATCAATGACTCACTGAAACATCAAAATACTACAAGATGGCCTGATAAACAGAATTGATACCCTGACTGGAAACTTCAGAGGAACAGAAAATTCCCAGCAACTCCAACCCCAGCCCTGCTTCCTTCCTCCACCAAGGACATAAAAAAGAAAACAAAACTCCCACTTAGTCCCACCCATGACCCAGATGTGGTTCCTATAGTCAATGAGTTCTAAAAGAATGGTTCCTATAGTCAATGAGTTCTAAAAGAATGTATCTTTTGCGTTGAGTTCTAAAAGAATGTATCCTTTGTGGTACCAAAACAAAACTCCCACTTAGTCCCACCCATGACCCAGATGTGGTTCCTATAGTCAATGAGTTCTAAAAGAATGTATCTTTTGCGCCTTACCGGTGTCTCACACCTATAATCCTAGCTACTCAAGAGGCTGAGAACTGAGGATCACGGTTCAAAACCAGCCTGGGCAGAAAAGTCTGTGAGACTCTTATCTCTAGTTTACCACCAGAAAACCGGAAGTTGTGCTGTGTCTCAAGTGGTAGAACACTTGCCTTAAGCTGAAGAGCTCAGGAACAGCACCTAGGCCCAGAGTTCAAGCCTAACGACCGACCAAAAAAAAAAAAAAAAGAATGTATCTTTATAAATTCAAGATCAGGTTTTCTGAAGAGAGATCAAATTTCTAAACATTATAACTATAAATTGTCCGAGATTTACAAAGAAGAAATTACCTTTAATATACTATTTTCCCTATCTCACAAACAGGTAATCAACTGGATGTCAAAGGGCCATCTCTGCCTAAGAACATGCTTTGTTTTGTCTACACAGTGATGAAAATAATTTTTTTTTGGGGGGGGGGGGGGAGAGGGGCCGGTCGTGGGGCCTGAACTCTGGGCCTGGGCGCTGTCCCTCAGCTCTTCAGCTCAAGACTAGCGCTCTAACACTTGAGCCACAGAGCCACTTCCAGCTTTTTTCTTTTTGCTTATATGTGCTGAAGAATCGGACCCCGGGCCTCATGCATGCAAGGCAAGCGCTCTACCACTGAGCCACCTTCCCAGTCCCCGGCTTTTTTCTTTTTGCTTATGTGGTGCTGAGGAATTGAACCCAGGGCCTCATACATGCAAGGCAAGCTATCACTAAGCCACCTTCCCAGCCCCAGTGATGAAAATAATTTTAAACCTGGACATCACGGTTCAAATCTGTAATCCCAGTAATCCCAGTAATCAGGAGATTGAAAGAGGATTCTGAGTTTGAGGCCAGCTTGGAGTACATAGTGAGTTCTAAAAGAGCCTAAGATAACAGTGAGACCCTGCCAAGAAAGGAAAGGAGGAAGGGAAGGGAAAAAGGAAGAGGAAAATGAGGGAGGGAGAAAGGAGAAGGAAAGAGGGAAGAAGAGATCGCAAATAACTAAAACTCAAAAATTTTGCATATAAATCTAAGTTCCTTTTTTTCTTTTGCTTTTGAGTTGGTATTACGAAGGAGTTTCATTGTGACATTTCCATACATGAACTCCATACACTTTGAACAAATTTACCCCTTCCACTATATTCTAATTCCTCCACTCCCTCCTTTTCCCTTAATCTAAATTCTTTTAAGGAATTTAGAAGTTCTGATGACACCCATTGTAACAATTGGCTAGCACATGATGACAATTTTTCTTCAGCGGAGGAGGAGCTATTCACATGTTCACTGCCCCTCAACACCTATTACCCTACCTATTTCTCAGGTACCATCTTGTGGGACCTATTTCTCTGGTACCATCTTAGGTACCTAAGCCTGCAATTCTCTTGGAGGAAATTCAAGGATACCAAGTGATCTAGAGGCTAATTTGCAGTTTCCAGTTTTCTTTTGTTTTGGCAGTCCTGAGGCTTGAACTCTGGGCCTGGACGCTGTCCCTTAGCTCCTTTCGCTCAAGGCTAGCGTTCTACTACTTGAGCCACAATGCCACTTCTGGCTTTTTCTGTGATTAACTGGAGAAGAGTCTCACAGACTTTCCTCTCCGGGCTGGCTTCAAATCATGATCCTCAGTTCTCAGCCTCCTGAGTAGCTAGGATTAGAAGTGTGAGCCACTAGCACTGGGCTTCATTTTCCAGATTTTTACAAATACTTACCAATTGCTAAGGCCAAATGATCCTTGAGAGAGCCTTCTTTGTCAGGCCCAGCTGGAAGTCCAGAAAGCTCAGAGGAATTCAGAAAGCCCTAAGTGCACCAAAAAACAAGCATAAGCCATTTTTGCACCCAAGTCATCCACAGAACAGCAAAATAGCTTATTTCAAAAAAAGTGGTTAAGACAACTAAATATAAATAGATACTTCCACTAAGCCAAGTGTTAAAAATTGATCATATTTTCTTTCTTTTTTTTTTATTGGGTAGTCGTGGGGCCTGAACTCTGGGCCTGGGCACTGTCCCTCAGCTCTTCAACTCAAAGCTAACACTTATCACTTCAGCCACAGCACCACTTCTGGCTTTTTCTGCTTATGTGGTGCTAAGGAATCAAACCCAGGGCCCTATGCATGTTAGGCAAACACTCTACCACTGAGCCACTTTCCCAGCCCCGTAGTTTCATTTTTTAAAGTAAATTATTATATTACACTACCACCTCCAATTCCATTCTACCCCCATCCTCCAGCCTAACTTAGAATTTCCTAGAAACCAGGAATAATGCTTTCAGACAATCATAAAATACTAAAACTAGGAGACTATTACAGACTATTGGTGGGAAAGCAGAACACTGCAAATTCAGTAGAGAATTGGATAATGTCTACATTATGTTTTTGGTTTGGTTTTGGTTTTTTTTTTTTTCAGTCATGGGACCTGAACTCTGGGATTGGGTGCTGTCCCTGAGATCTTCAGCTCAAGGCAGGTGCTCTACCACTTGAGATACAGCGCAACTCCTGGTTTTCTGGTGATTAACTGGAGATAGAGTCTCATAGACTTTCCTGCCCAGGCTGGTTTTGAATCACAATCCTCAGATCTCAGCCTGCTGAGTAGCTAGGATTACAGGTGTGAGCCACCAGCACCTGGCTACATTATGTTTATATTTTGACTCTTCAATTATATTTCTAGGAATCTGATAACTCACCTACAAAAATATAAATATATTTCACATACAAGAATATTCAGTGAGGACTTTTTTTCATGGGTTTTTGTTGTTGTTGTTGTTGTTGTTGTTTTGATGCCAGTACTGAGGTTTGAACTTAGGTTCTGAGCACTGTCCCTGAGTTGTTGTTGTTGATGTTTTTTGCTAAAAGCAGGTGCTCTATCACTTGAGTCACAGCTCTACTGCCAGCGTTTAGGTGGCTAATGGATATAAGAATCTCAGAGACTCTCTTGCCTAGGCCAGCTTCAAACTATGATCCTCACATCTCAGCCTCCTGGGTGGCTAGGATTACAGGTGTGAGCCAATGGCACCTGGACAGAAAGTATATTTAACCTTAAAATTTTGGAAGCAGGGCTGGGAAGGTGGCTCAGTGGTAGAGTGCTTGCCTTGCATGCTCGAGGCCCTGGGTTCGATTCCTTAGCACCACATAAGCAAAAAGAAAAAAGCCGGAAGTGGCACTGTGGCTAAAGTGATAGAGCACTAGCCTTGAGTTGAAGAGCTGAGGGTCAGCGCCCAAGCCCAGAGTTCAGGTCCCACTACCAGACACCCCCAAAAAATAAAAATAAAATAAAATAAAAATTTTTTGGAAGCAGCCTAAATGCTCAAACACAGGAGATAGGCTGAATAAACCTCAGCACACCCACACAAAAGAAAATAAGATACTTCTATAAAGTATTTCCATGATATATTACTAAATGAAAGAAGCAAATGACCACATATGTAAGAAATATTTGTACACATGTAGTTATTTATGTTTCCAGTCCTGGGGCTTGAACTCAGGGCCTGGGTACTGTCCCTGGGCTTCTTCGTGCTCAAGGCTAGAGCTCTACCACTTGAGCTACAGTGCCACTTCAGCTTTTTTGAGTAGTTTATTGAAGATAAGAATCTCATGGGGACTTTTCTGCCCAGCTGGCTTTGAACTGCGTTCCTCAGATCTCAGCCTCCTGAGTAGCTAGGACTGCAGTCATAAGCCATTGGTGCCCAGCTGTTTATATGATTATTTTTACAAAAAGGATCATATTAACTAGAATCCAGTGAGGCTGACGATCCCCAGTAGATGAAAATGGAATGAAAGTTGTATTAAAATTTCTCTGAGGCCAGGCACTGGTGGCTCATGTCTGTAATCCTAGCTACTCAGGAGGCTGAGATCTGGGGATCATGGTTCAAAGCCAGCCCAGGCAGGAAATTCTTTCTTTTTTTTTTCTTTTTTTATTGTGAAAATACCATACAGAGGGGTTACAATTACATGGGCAAGATAATGAGTACATTTCTTATCAAGCATTGTTGCCTCCTCCTTTGTTTCCCCTTCCCATCCCTTTCCATCTCCCCGCCCTTCCCCCCACCTCCACCCCCACCATACAGGAAATTCTGTGAGACTCTTATCTCCAATAAAACTACTCAAAAAAGTCAGAAGTGGCACTGTGGCTCAAGTGGTAGAGCGCTTGCCTTAAGCAAAAGAAGCTCAGGGATAGCACCCAGGCCCAGAGTTCAAGCCCCAAGACTGGAAAACAAAAACAAAAACAAAACAAAACTTCCCTGAGCTGGGTGCTGGTGGTTCATTTTTTATTTGAAAGAAGGCTGCATTAAAAACAGACTTAAATGGCTGGGAAAGTGGCTAGTGATAGAGTGTTTGCCTTGCATGTATGAGGCCCTGGGTTTGATCCTCAGTACCACATAAACAGAATAAGCCATAAGTGGTACTATGGCTCTAGTGGTAGAGCACTAGCCTTGAGCTGAAGAGCTGAGGGACAGTGCCCAGGCCCAGAGTTCAAGCCCCAAAACCACCACCAGCACCACCAACAAAAAAAAAAAAAACCAGACTGAAATAATTCTTCGTTTATCCTCCTAGAGGAGGAAATAAGGTTATTCTCTAAATTGTGCTTTCTTCAGTCCCTTTCCCCAGACTATCACATATTTTGAAGAGGAAGCCTCATGTGGTCTCACTCATGCCTTCACTGCACTGACATCCAATCACTCAAGAAAGGTTGACTGAGCCCCAGCAAAACAATGCATCTATTTCTCTTTTATCAATAATACAGTAGAAAAAGGCAAAATTGTTGGTCCATGAAGCTTACATTCTACAAATAAAAATGTAATTTAAAACACTACACTAACAAAATTTTAATGAGGCAGAATAAGGAGACAGAACAAATGAATACTTTTCCCAGAGATAATAGTTAACCAGCAACATAAGAGTGTCTAAAATCCTTAACTACTCAGTAGGCTGAGATCTGAGGATCATGGTTCAAAGTCAACCCCAAGTAAGAAATTTCATGACATTCTTATCTCCAATTAACCACCCAAAAGCCAGAAGTAGCGCTATGGCTTAAGTGGTACAGCACTAGCTTTGAGCAAAAAAGCTCAAAGACAGTGCCCAAGCCCTGAGTTTAAGCCCCAGTTACCCCACCCCCATCCCCCAAATAAAAGAACAGCAGTACCCTACAATGGAGAACAAACTCATCATGTGCAGACAAATGCAAACTCACTTTACTATATGTGGAGAGCTGATCCTTTAGACTCTTACAATGCAGCATGGTTCCCAGGGCTACTTTCTGGACCAACTGTTGAAATTTTAAATTTCTGGAAACAAAGTCTGTCTCACAGTTTACCTGTAGGAATAAACGAATGTTGCAGTGTAAGCTGATAGTAAGTTCCTTAAGGTTGAAGAGTAAAGTTAGATACAATAGAACAAGCTTTAGACTCAGGAGAACTAAACAACCCCAGACTTTTCTGTAATATACTGAAGGAACCATACAAATTCGCCCCTTCCTACACTTCATAATTACTCCATTTCCCAGGCTCCTCCAACTCCAAATCGAATTTGCTATCACTATCCCTTTATCTCACTCTAAATCTACATCTGCTTCTTTACCAATGACAATGCCCAAACCTCTAAATCAGTTACTTTCTATCCATCAGCTAATTAAAAGAATTACTGGGGCTGGGAAGGTGGCTCAGTGGTAGAGCGCTTGCCTTGCATGCCTGATGCCCTGGGTTCGATTCCTCAGCACCACATAAAGAAAAAAGCCGGAAGTGGCACTGGGGCTCAAGTGGTAGAGTGTTGGCCTTGAGCTGAAGAGCTGAGGGACAGCACCCAGGCCCAGAGTTCAGGCCCCACGACCGGACCCAAAAAAAAAAAAAAAAAAAGAATTACTATCTTTAAACCCTAACTGTTCAAGAAAATAATCAGTGATAAGGTACAAAGCTACATTAAGAGTCACACTAAGAAAATGTTCAAGAGTGCTAGGCCATTTCTCATCAACATGTCTGCATTCCTCTATCTAAATCTATTTCTAATAACAACATCTTCAAAGTTTTTTTGTCGGTAGTGGGACTTGAACTCAGGGCCTGGGCACTGTCTCTGAGCTTTTTTGCTCAAGGCAAGTGCTCTACACTTTGAGCCATAGCTCCACTTCTGGTTTTCTGGTAGTTAATTGGAGATAAGAGTCTCTTGGGGATCTTTCTGCCTAGGCTGCCTTCCAATATTGGTCCTCAGATCTCAGCCTCCTGAGTAGCTAGCATTAAGTGTGAGCCACCACTGCTGGTGTCTTGAAAGCTTTTAACTTCAACTACATTTTATAGTTTTCAAAACTATTTCTTGTTTAAGAATACAAAGGGTGGGCTGGGAAGGTGACTCAGTGGTAGAGCACTTGCCTTGCATGCATGAGGCCCTGGGTTCAATTCCTCAGCACCACATAAGCAAAAAGAAAAAAGCCGGAAGTGGCACTGTGGCTCAAGTGGTAGAGCGCTAACCTTGAGCTGAAGAGCTTAGGGATAGTGCCCAGGCCCAGAGTTCAGGCCCCACGACCGGACCCAAAAAAAAAAAAAAAAAGAATACAAAGGGTGGTTACTGCAGCTCTCCAAGGCCAGCACAGCCTCTTGTTAGCTGAGCTCCAGCCAAAGGAGAAGGGAGGGTGAGTAAGACCTCTATCCTATGGCTCATTCCAAGATGACTGCTCACAAATCCACTGGTGGTAAAGCACCCAGAAAACAACTGGCAACAAAAGCCGCTCACAAGACTGCACCCTCTACCAGAGGGGTGAAGAAACCTCACCATTACAGGCCTGGGTACTGTGATGCTTCCTGAAATTAGACGCTACCAGGTCTGCGGAACTTCTGATTTGCAAGCTCCCTTTCCAGATTCTGGCATGAGAAATTGCTCAGGACTTCAAAACAGACCTGTGCTTCCAGAACGCAGCTGTTGGTGCTTTACAGGAGGCAAGTGAGGCCTACCTGGTTAGCCTTTTTAAAGATACCAATCTGTGTGCTATCCATGGCAAATGTATAATAATTATGCCTAAAGATATCCAGCTAGCACACTGCATACATGGAGAGCATGCTTAAGAATCCACTAAGAGCCAGGCACCTGTAGCTCACACCTGTAATCCTGGCTACACAGGAGGCTGAAATCTGAGGATCACAGTTCAAAGCCAGCCTGGGCAGGAAAGTGTATGAGACTCATCTCCAGTAAACCACCAGAAAACCTAAAGTAGAGTTGTGGTTCAAGTGGTAGAGGGCTGGCCTTGAGCTAAAGAGCTGAGGGACAACACCCAAGCCCACAGTTCAAGCCCCATGACTGACCAAAAAAAAAAAAGAATCCACTAAGATGGTTCCCCCCCCCCACCCCACCCCTTTTCTTGTTATCAGTAGTTCTGAATGTACCTAAGTATATTATTGCCAGTGGAAATATAGGGCATAGAAATCAGGTATTGACAATTGTTCCATTTTCATTTGCGTGTGAATTTTTTAAATAACTGTGGGTATATAATATGTTTCAGTAAACAAGTTTCAGCAGTTCAACTTTATAACAATTATAAATAAACCTGTTAAATTTTTCTGAAAAAAAAAAAAAAAAAAAGAATACAAAGGGTCTACTACAAGCCTTATACCAAGCACAACTGCTGCTGTTATGTGGAGTTTCCAATAGCTCACCTCCACTAATACAGCTGCGTTTCCTTCCTGTAGCAGCCCAATCAAGCCTTCTTTGGTCTTCCTTCCATGGAGCTTGGCAGCTTTGCTCCAGCCCTCTTTCTGGGCTTGCTTGTGAAGCCACATCTCAGCCTAGAAATTGGAAAGGAAAAGGGCAGAGGACAAAGTCAAACTGCATAACAGTGCTGATTTAAAATATGTTCAAAGTGACTGGTTTCTTCCACTTTCCCTAAATTCTTTTTTTTTTTGTCGGTTGTGGGGCTTGAACTCTGGGCCTGAGTGCTGTCCCTCAGCTCAAGGCGAGCGCTCTACCACTTGAGCTACAGCGCCACTTCCGGTTTTCTGGTGGTTTATTGGAGATAGGAGTCTCACGGTCTTTCCTGCCCGGGCTGGCTTTGAACCGCGATCCTCAGATCTCAGCCTCCTGAGTAGCTAGGATTACAGGCGTGAGCCACCAGCGCCCGGCTTCCACTTCCCCTAAATTCTATAAATGTAAACGAATGCAGTTTATCATTTACTGTCAGACTGCTACTAAACGCTGATTATCAAGCATTGTAGTATCTAGTGCTTTGGATAAATTTAATCTTCAAAACAACCCTAGGGGCAGATGGCAGTATTTTCATTGTACAGAAAAGAACACCACAAGTCTGAAAGATTCGCTGAAATATCCAGTGTAGGTATGAAAGCACCATAATTTAAACCCTGGTGGGTCTAACTCCAAAGCTCACCTATAACCTTCTCAGCTTCAAGCAGCAGAAAGTTTCCCATGGAGTACTAACCCTAGGATCCCGAATCAATTGCTTCCAAGTAAGACAAAGTCAATGGGTTGAGGTCGTTTTATGCCAGAACTAGACACCATCCTGCCTTAATTAAGGGCCCATGGGCTGCTGCTCTTATTTATCCACGCTGGCCGGTTAGGCTGAAGTTAGACCCTCGCCCCACTTCCTCCTCGCCCCAGCTCATTCCCCCCCCCCCCGCACACCCACCTGTTTGAGATCCCCATCACAGGTCTCCAGAGCTTTCTTGCAGTTGACAAAGGAGTAGCCTGTTCGCCGCCGCAGCTTCATAAGGAGCTCCTTGCCCGAGGAGGACAGGCAAGGGCCTGCGTGAAACGTGTGCCATGGCTGGGGCGTCGGAGGTAGAAGGGACCCCGCCTGGAAGAGGAGAGGGGTGAGAAGTCTGAAGCAGCGGGGAGCTGGGGGGGGCGGGGGGAGGGGGCGGGGGGCGGCGACGTCATCCCGGAGCTCTCGGGCTCCGGAAGTGCCCGCGGGAGCCTTCGGCTGCGGCTGGACCGCTGAGAGACCGCCGTGCGCGGGGGCGCGAAGAGTGTGCAGCAGGGGGGCCAGGGGAGGGGTGCGCTCAAGGCTCACGGCCAGACAGCCGGGGCAATTCCCAGGCTGGGAGGCATCACCTGGCGGCTTCCGGCCCGCGCGGCCAGGCTGAGCTGCAGGGACCGCAGCAGGGACATCACGCCAGCGGGGACCTCCCGGCTCGCCGCGGCGCGCAGGTAGGGCGACGGCTTATGGCGTGGCAGAAGGGCCAAAATTCTCCAACCACGACACGCCGGAGAGTGATAGCGCCATCTGCTGGTCGGAGGGATGCAGTCTCGCCGCCTCTATTTGTTTTTGCTTTTGTTTTTGTGTTTTTGGGTGGGTTTTTTTTTTTTCGGTTGGTCGTGGGGCTTGAACTCTGAGCCCGGGCGCTGTCCCTCAGCTCTTCAGCTCAAGGCCAGCGCTCTACCACTTGAGCCACAGCGCCATTACAGCTTTTTCTGCTTATGTGGTGCGGAGGGCCCCATGCATGCAAGGCAAACACTCTTCCGCTGAGCCACCTTCCCAGCACCCCCCCCCCCCGCATTTGTTTTATTAGATTTATTTTATTCAAATGATTTCTGCCTGTAATCCTAGTTAGCTGATACTCAGGAAGCTGAGATCTGAGGATCCCAGTTCGTTGCCAGCCCAAGCTGAGAATCTCTATCTCTAACAAAAAGGGAGAAACATGCGGTTGGGAGGGAAAAACTAGGAGAGCAAGGGAAGGGGTGACATTGTACAAAAAAGGAATGCACTCTTTATCTGATTTATGTAACTGTAACCCCTCTACACATCACCTTTATAATAATAATTTTTATTTATTATTTATTTTGTCTATCATGGGGCCTGAACTCTGGGGCCGGGCACTGTCCCTCAGCTCTTCAGCTCAAGGCTAGCACTCTATCACTGGAGTCACAGTATCACTTCTAGCTTTTTCTGATTATGTGGTGCTGAGGAATCGAACCCAAGGCCTCATGCATGCAAGGCAAGCACTCTACCACTGAGCCACCTTCCCAGCCCCTAATAATTTTTTAACCCAGAAACAGAGGTGTGGCTCAAGCAATAGTATGCCAGCCTTAAGCAAAAAAAGCTAAGCAAAATGTGAGGTGAGTTTATGCCTTCCACTATACACACACACACACACACACACACACAATACATTTCACTCTAATCACAGCTACTTGGGAGGTAGTGGAGAGTTTAAGGCCAGTTCTAGTGAGACCCTGTCTCAGAAGCAAATTACAAAAGGACTGGCCAGGCACCAGTGGCTCATGCCTGTTGTCCTAGCTACTGAGGAGGCAAGATCTGAGAATCATGGTTTGAAGCCAAACTGGGCAGGAAAGGCTGTGAGACTCATCTCCAATTAACTACCAGAAAATCAGAAGTGGAACTGTGGCTCAAAGCACTAGCTTTGAGGAAAAAGAGCTCAGGGATAGCACCCAGACTCTGTGTTCAAGTCCAAGGACTAGCCAAAAAAAAAAAAAAATGAGGGGGGGGGGGGCGGCTAGAGGCCTAGCTCAAGTGTTAAATGCCTACTTAGCAATCTAGAGGCCCTGGGTTTATCTCTAGTACTGCTGTATTTCACAAGGAAATTACTTCCACCAGATAAAATAAGAATACAAGAAATGTGTGGCTGATACTTTGTTTCTTTATTCCCAATGTTCTTTCATATTCACTATTCATTTAGGACTCACACAAACTGTGAGGTAGATAGTTGGATTCAGGTTTACCTAGAAAGGCAGAGGTAGAATCCCTTCAATAAACCAAATAAATATTTGTCAGATTAAAATAATCCTGCAGAACATGGGTGTCAAGAACTGTGCTGGCTTCAGGGGACTCGATAAGCCACAGCTCTGTCCTCCAAGATAAATCTATCAGGGAAAGGACTAGGACCAGAAAAGATACAAAACAAGGCAAGTTCCTGTAAGATGAAAAAACCGAAAGATCCCAAGGGGATAAAAATCATACCAAACTCAAGGCTCAGGAACCCTCTGCCCCCAAACCACCCTGAGAAAATAATCAAAGGTTTGGTGTAGATTCAGGAAAAAAAAGAGAGATCTTTTGTAGAGGCCCAATATGTACAGGAAAGGAAGAGGAAATTAGAAAGGTCATCTGGGTGGCAGGGGGATAAACTGGATACAGAGCAAAGGAGTTTGTTCTTCTCTAGTCAGTGGAAGCTAGTCAGAGCTGATTTTGATAGACTGCAAGAGTTCACAAAGCAACTAGGAGATAAGAGAATGTGGCACACCATCCAGGAGATGACTACAGAGCTGCTGCAATGGGAAACAGTAAGAATTGAAGGCAAGGGCTGGGAAGGTGGCTTAGTGGTAGAGTGCTTGCCTAGTATGCATGAAGCCGTGGGTTCAATTCCTAGTACTACATACACAGAAAAGGCTGGAAGTGGCACTGTGGCTCAAGTGGTAGAGTGCTAGCCTTGAGCAAAAGAAGCTCGGGGACAGTGCCCAGGCCCTGAGTTCAAGCCCCATGACTGACAAAAAAAGAATTGAAGGCAAAAGGAATTAGGAAAGAAAGACTGATAGAGCTTGGAAAGAAAAACCAGGTGAGAAGAACCTAGTACTCAGTCCAATGTTCTTCACTGCATGCTGTTTTATGAAAGAAAGAGAGAGAGAGAGAGAGAAAGAATGGAAGGAAGAAAGAAAGAGAGAGAGAAGGAAGGAAGGAAAGGAGGGAGGGAAGGAAGGAAGGCAGGCAGGCAGGAAGGAGGTACTGTCCAAAAGGCAGCTTTTCTGTCAGTTCCAGGTTCAGGGCTGGGAAGACATATGGCATAATCCTGCCATACTTTTCTTTCTCCTACTCTCCTAGAAAGAAACAGGTGGTGTGAGGCTTCTTTCTCAGCACCCAGGACTGGGGTGGTAGGGGGGCCCGCGGGGCAGGAGGCAAGGGAACTGTATTCTTTGGATGCAGAAAAGATCACTAAAAAAAAAATTAAGCCGAAGCCGGGCATTGGTGGCTATGCCTGTAATCCTAGCTACTCAGGAGGCTGAGATCGTGGTTCAAAGTCAGCCCAGGCAGGAAAGTCCATGAAACTCTTATCTCCAATAAACCACCATAAAACTTAAAGTGCATTGTGGCTCAAGTGGTAGAGCGCTAGCCTTGAGCTGAAGAGCTGTGGGACAGCACCCAGCCCCAGAATTCAAGCCCCACAACTGCAAAAAAAAAAAAAAAAAAAAAAAAAAAAAAAGCCAGGCATCAGTGGCTCACACCTGTAGTCCTAGCTACAGGTTGAGATCTGAGAATTGTGGTTCAAAGCCAGCCCAGGCAGGAAAGTCTGTGAGCCTCTTATCTCCAATTAACCACCAGAATACCAGAAATGGCGCTGTGGTTCAAGTGGCAGAGCGCTTGCCTTGAGCTGAAGAACTCAGGGATAGTGACCAGGCCTAGAGTTCAGGTCTCACACACACACAAAAATTCTTTAGAACTTTTTTTTAAAAGTCCATTGTGTTGGGGCTGGGAAGGTGGCTCAGTGGTAGAGCGCTTGCCTTGCATGCCTGAGGCCCTGGGTTCCATTCCTCAGCACCACATAAGCAAAAAGAAAAAAGTCGAAAGTGGCGCTGTGGCTCAAGTGGTAGAGCGCTAGCCTTTGCTAAAGAGCTGAGGGACAGCGCCCAGGCCCAGAGTTCAGGCCCCATGACTGGACCCAAAAAAAAAAAAGAAAAAAAGAAAAAAGTCCATTGTGTTATAAAAAGGCAACAGTAAAATTAGAAGTCATCATTGATAGTCTCTGCACCTACTCTCAAACCCATTTACCTCCCCCCCACACATACACACCCCTAAAAAGCCATCTTCCTCCTCTGAAAACTAGAGCTGGAAATTCCCTCTGTGCTCTAATATGAGTGTTTTTAGATAGTCTATGATTCTTAGTAAGTAGGCACCTCTATGGGGGAAACAAGGAAAAAAGAGAGAGAGAGATAGAGAGGGGAAACCCATGAAGATCCATCATTTTGGTCCCTGTGTTTATGGCTCTGGAGATATGCAGCAACTTCCTTGGGACAAGGGGTTGAGAATAACAGGAGTGACTTCAAGCAGGCCTTGTTTCCCTATGGCAGGCCCTGTAGATGTTGACATTCTCATTCTCATCCCTCTGGGCCAGCTCCAATTGGAAGTGCTGGGGCAGGAGGTGCTGGAAGAAGCTCTCTGTCCCATGTTCCTCCCTCATTTTGGAGGCCAGATAGATGGTACCACGGGGCCCGCACAGGTGCCGGAGGGTCCTCAGCAGCAGTGGGAAGGTGGGTTCCAGGTACACGATATCTGATCCCAGCACCAGATCATAATTTCCAGGAAAGACATGCTGGTCAATCCCCCAGGACAAAGCGCAGACCTGGGCCTGGACTCCAGCTGGCACATTAGCGTGAACGTTGCTTTGGATCTGCTCTAGTGCCAGAGGCAGGTCAGTGATGGTTACATCCCCCCCTGAGGGAGAACAAGGAGGAGAAATGCAAGTCAGAGGGATCCAGCAAGGACTCCTGGCTCCTACCTGAAAGATCCTGAGACCTCTAAGCCTAGAGGACAATGTCTTCCTAGCCTGAAGTGCGCAGTTGGACTTTTTGTTGCCCTAACCTCCATCTCACCCACTGCATGCTCATTACTCTACATTCTACCACATCAACATTCTCTCTGAGCTAATCTTCAACCTCTCTGCCCAACACACAATCATCAGATGTCAGCAGAACCCTGAGCAGGACTATACTGGAGATGGGCCCTGTACCCACCCCCACTGACACAAAACCACCTTGGGGGCCTGGAAGGCTTCCCAAGAGACATGTCCTCAGCTGAGCCCTAGAGGACATGTAGGAGTTAGTCAGATGGGGTTTTCGACTCCTGAGTACAGAGGCCTGGCAGGACATATATTCTAGGGAAGACTGTATCTTAGAGGATGTGGAAATAGGGAGAAGAATTTCCAGGCATGAGACAGGATTATGATATTCTAAGGAGATCTATCTTGGATAAGGAGGCAACAGGTCAGAAGAATAGAAGTGAGGGTGAAGATGATCAGATTAGGGACTTGGAATGTGGCCTAGTGGTAGTGTGCTTGCCTAACATGCATGAAGCCCTGGGTTGGATTCCTCAGTACCACATTTGCTAATGTGGTACTGTAAAAGCCAAAAGTGATGCTGTGGCTTAAGCAGTAGAGTGCTAGCCTTGAGCAAAAGAAGCTAAGGGACAGTGCCCAGGCCCTGAGTTCAAGCCCCAGG